AGGGATCTGCAGTCTTGTATGAATAAATTTCAGTAATTAACTAGCTCTGAGGAAGGCTCACCTAAAATGTTAACTCTGATTTCTCTCCACAGATGCTGCCAGATCTGCTGATCTTTTCCAGCAATTTCTGTTTTGTTTCTGATTTTACAGTATCCGCAGTTCTTTAGGTTTTTATATGATCTATCAAGTCAAGTTATATTCTGGGATTTCAATTGCCCAGCAGTACAATTAACTGGATCACATCATACAATTTAGAATGTTCACAACATTATTACTTACTTTAAGAGTAATGGTAACAAAGTAAGAGGCCAAATGTTAGTTTCTACAAATTAGACACTTGGCGGAATAAAAATTCTGAGGCTGACAGCTTGCAGTAGCTGCATCATGGTGAAAATGTGAAGATGTGCCCTAGACCTCTGGCTCCAATGGTAACAAACTTTGTGGAGCCAAGAAGAAGTTCCTTTTATTTAAATATGTTAGACAAGTATATGCTCCACATTGAGAAAGCCTGAGTCACCTGCCCACTAAAGGAGACCAGAGACAGCAGTGTGAATGTATGAGATCCAAAGACTAATTCATCATCTGCTAGAATACAAACACCATTGTCTTCTCAGCCTCTTTAAAAGGAGTACAAAACTAAAAGCTTAGCCCAACATGCTGCCACAGTCAGTGAAGTTATGGTGAAATTTTCACATTTAAAAAAATGTGTACAGCCGTGAGTGCACATGTGTGCATATGGTGTGTGCTTCTGTCTGTGTACAAATTTTGAACCAATCAAGTTGAGAAATCTTAATAGGACTTTTCTTCATGATCAGCATCATGCATGCATTAGTGACCTACCTCAAGCCCAATCTTAAAAGTGCAATGCAATCCATATTAGTGAGATGGTTTGTCATTTCCCACACTAGCTGCATTCTGTGGCATCTTTAAAGGAGATTTCTGTGGTGTCAAATTAAAAGCAATTTTATAGACTTGGGGATCCAGGATTTGTTTACTTGTCAATCTAATACTGTGAGTTAGCAGCTACCATGGTACACTGGCACAGCATCTCAGCATGATCTGTAACTCTTGCAATTTTATGCTGAAACTGACTTTTCTGGCTGTATTTAGTATATCTGCATCGCAGGATAATTGCCAGAAACTGTTTCTGTCCAATTCTTTTCATTAAAACACTTCTCCCGAGTTCAATATCCAGTTGCTGAATGTTCTTATTATCTGCTTACCAAGTGCTGACTGATCTCATTTACTTATCAGCATGAGGGCAAGTGGCACTACTATTGAAGTTTTGTATTCTACTCACTAATGAATTGTAGTTAGTTGGCTGCATGTTTTAGGCAAAGGAGCTGCCTGATCGGCCAATATAGTTGGTTGTGAGAGGTTTTGGAACCTTACGAGTTTGACTGACAATTTCTACAGCTGAGAAATAGTTTATTATCACCATTTGTACCTACAAACACCTTTCTTCAAATGATGACTGCCAATTTCAGGTCACCAAAGTATTTTTAGCATCACCCACGTCCTTATCGAAAATTATCTAACAAATGGTATAGCTAGGTAGGTTTTCAAAGTGAAGGCAGTGAGGAAAACCTTATAAAGGGCTTAGAGGTGTGCAATGCGAGTGTGTAGTTAGGATTCGTTTTGTCGAGATGAAATGAAATGAGATTTTTAAATCATAGCATTTCATTGCATTGTTCCTAGAACATTGGAAAACAGAACAAAAGGGAAACTTTGTGATAGGGTGGGAAGCAGAAGAAATTAAATGAGAATAATTCTGCTGGTACAAGACCAAGGGGAGTGATAATGGGATAAGTAAACAAACAAAACATGTATCTAGGAGGTGTAAATGGCAGAATCATGAATTTTGTCAAAAAGAGGAAGAACAAAAGAGCATTGGAAAGGAGGCAAAATGAGGGCAGATGTTGAGATCTGAAATGGTTAAAGTCAGTAAATCAAACAAAGAACTAAACAACTGCAGTTGCTGGAAGTCAGAAGCAAAAAATAGAAATTGCTGGAAGTCTCAGCAGGTCTGGCAGCATCTGTGGATGGTAATGTTTTGGGTCGAATGACCCTTCGTTAGAACACAGACCATTCAGAAGAAGGGTTTTCTGCTTTCTCTCCACAGATGCTGCCAGACTTGCTGAGTTTTTCCAGGGATTTCTGTTCTTTTTTGGTTACATGCAATGTTGCGTTTTGAAGGCTGTAACGTGCCTAATTAAAAGATGTGAAGCAATTCCTCGAGCTGACATTGAGCTACGCAGGAACAAAAACAAAGTTGCTGGAAAAGATCGGTTCTGAGGAAGGGTCACCGGACCCGAAACGTTAACTCTGTTTTCTCCTCCACAGATGCTGCCAGACCTGCTGAGCTTTTCCAGCAACTTTGTTTTTGTTCCTGATTTACAGCATCCGCAGTTCTTTTGGTTTTTATTGAGCTATGCAGGAACACTTCAGGAGGCTGTGCATAATGTGAGGTCAGAATGGTAACAAGGTGGAGAACAGACAACCAGAAAGTCATGCTTGCAAAATTAACAGAGGTTTACCACAAAGTAGTAACTCAATTTACATTTAATTTCCCCAATGTATAGACTACATTGTGAATAGCCAATACATTAAACTAAATTATCAACTGCTGCTTAACTGAGTAGCCTAAACAAAAGGCATGTCTTATGGGGAAAGGTTAAATGGTTGTGCCCATACACATTGAAGTTCAGAAGAATGAGAGGTGATTTTATTAAAACGTTTAAGATTCTGAGGAAACCTGACAGGATAAATGCTGGGAGGATTTTTCCTCTAGTGGGGGAATCTAGAACAAAGGGACACAATTTAAAGATAAGAGCTCCCCCATTAATGATAGAGGTGAAGAAGAATTTCTTCTCTCAGAGGGTCACTAGTGTTTGGAATTCCCAAGTAAGCATGGGATGCTGGGTCATTGATTATATTCCAGGCCGATTTAGACATATTTTTGATTGACAAAGGAGTCAGGGGTTATGGGGGAGCAGGCAAGGAACTAGTATTAATGCCACAATCAGATCAACTTTCACATTTTGAATAGCAGAGCAGCCTCGACAGACATAATGGCCGACTCCTGCTCCTATTTCATGGGACCATGAGTATAAGCAAATCACTGATTCATTTGGAAAGAACATTTGGGCTCCTGGATGGTGAAATAAGAGGTAAAAGGGCAAGTGATATATCTCCAGTACTTTCACTGAAAGGTGCACCAGGAACAGAACAGGATTTGGGGATGATTGATGAGTGGAGCAGGCTGTCAGAGAGGCAGTAGTCCCTTTGGAATGCTGAAAGGGGAGGAGAGGGGAAGATGTGGCGGTGGTGACCAGAAGGTGGTAGAAATAGCAGGACATTATCCGTTGAATGCGGAAGCTGGTGTGATGGATAGTGAGGTCAAGGGATCATCTATTATCCTTCACCATTAGCCTATAAAAGGCGTTTGCTTTGTTGTTTTCCCCCTCCCCTCCCCCTTCACTTGCTTAAAACCTATGGTGTCTCTAATTGTTCCTAGTTTGATGAAAATCATTGACCTGTAAAGTGAATACTGTTTTTCTTTCCACAAATACTGTCAGACCAACTGAGAATTTGCAGCGTTTTCTGGTGTTAGTTTATATTTCCAACATCCAAATCATTTGCTTTTGTGAAGGACCTGAATGTCTGATTCAGCTTACAAGGGAATACTGTTGTTATATTATTGTATAGTTAGAAATTGGACAAGTAGGTCATATCCCAAAAGACAAAACTTTATGGATGCGACTGACCATGCTTCAGGATTTAAGGCAAAACCTCAAGCCTGTTTTATACGTCTATTATGTCAGGCTGTATGACACGCCTCTTTTTAAAAGAAAGACTTGCATTATATAGAACTGTTTTCATGACTATTAAACATGTAAAGTACTTTATAGGCCATTATTTTTTTAAATATAGTCACTGTCATAACGTATTTAAGAGTAGCTTTTTTGTTGTCAAATAATATTTTCCATGAATCTGAAAGTGTACAACTATTGACTCAGTTAGCTCTACTAATTGCTCATTCCAATCTACAATTTACAATCTACAATCCTGGGAGTGTGAAGCCAAGCCTCAACTAGAATTTGAACATCTTACTGCTTTGTGATTGCAACATGCTGGTTCATGGCTGAACCACTAGATGGAATATGGGAGCATTCCACTTTTCAGGGAGAATGTATTAAAATATCAGTCTCACTAATGTAGCTACCACCTGGTGGTAACAGCTACTACCAAATACTGGTGGGACAGCATTTATAGAAATCATTTTAGCTCAGCTGAGGAAAGAAATGTGATGCTATAAAATGGCGATTCTGAGACTAAAACTGATAAATATGGAAGTGGCAGTAGGATTTTCCTTCTTCTGGTCATATGTTTTTAATTTTGTGTGGATCAAGAAAATATGGACTCCCTTTCTAATTTCTACTGGCTTTCTAAATGTTTGCACATTTCCTGCTCCATCACTGATTTCAACTTTTTTGTTATACTTCCAGTCACCAGTCAGTACTTTTTATGTGCCTTTGTTCCCATTCCAAGTCCAGATCTTCCTGTGGAATCTCCATTTTGAGAGATTACATTCACACAACTTGAGTGGACATATATTCATTCATCTTTGAACAAGTGGAAATGCTCAGTGAGTGAAACAGACCGATGTAAATGTTGAAGTGCAGTTTCACCAATCTAAGAAGTTTTGGTGCACCTACTCACACGGTAATTGCAGTTATCTCTGAACTTAATAACTAGCAGGAAACACTGGGAGGAGCTGTAAGAAGAGAATCAAAATAACTTCCCCAAAGAGGAGACAATGGAATGAGAAGTGGAACAAATAGCCAGTGAAAAGATTAAAAAATTGAAATGAGACATGCATTTGCCCTTTCTATACATTTGTGTCCATTTTTTTTTAAGAGATGGATATTCACAATAAAGTGGGCAGATTGATACAATTTTGTAACTGTTTCTTAAGATTTATTCTGTTTCTTCTACAGGCTCCTTGGCTATGGGAAACAAGGCACTGTTGGTACAGTTATCCTTACCAGGTAACACATTAATTGAATACTATATGTATTTCTGTTAGTCATTGTTATATTGGCAATCTCAGATGCTTAGTAACAGGAATAATAATAATTTCCACAGGTTTAAGCATTACGTATGAACTATATAAATTTTATTTAAGAGAAGCAATAGATGTTTGACAATCACAGGAGAATCTTGTTATTGCAAAACCAGTTAGTAGGTACAATATTGCTATTGCAACTTGGTAGCTGAAGCTCATCTTGTTAATACCAGCAGTTATGAAGAATCATTTCTCAGAATCATGTTGCAAGCTTGCTAATAAATTACTGCAATCAAGTATTATATGAGAACACAATAGCAATCCAACCTGGGATTTCTTGATGAGCAGTGCCATTGGGTGAATCGCTGCTTTCATTAGTACATGTATAATTAGACATTGAGAGAAAAATGGTAAAATTGGGCAGAGTCAACATGGATTTATGAAAGAGAAATCATATTATTGTTGGAGTTCTTTGAGAAAATTATTTGTAGCATTGATAAAGGAGTTGTGATTTGATGTATTAGATTTTCAGAAGGCTTTTGATAAGGTCCCACAGAAGATTAGTCAGTGAAATTAGACTGCGTGGGATTGGAGGAAATGTACTAGTGTGGATTGAGAATTGATTAAATCATAAAGCAAAGAGTAGAAATAAATGGATCATTCTCAGGATTGTAGGTTGTTACTACTGGTGTATGGCAAGGAACAGTGTGAGGTCCACAACTGTTCACAATCCATAAAAATGATTTGGATGTGAGGGCCAATTGTAATATTTCCAAATTTTCTGATGACACCATGCTACAACACAAACTCCTCCCTTGGTGAATTTGGTGATGAATGGGACGTTTCATTTGACAGGATGGTGGGAGGGGACCCTGCCGCTTTCTCATCTCTTCCTTAATTACGTCTGGGGCAGGAAGGTTCGAGGGCAGCCTTCCTAGCTCACTGCCAATTGAGACTCATAAATAAGCAATTAATGTCCAATCAAGTGCCTCAGCCCACCATGCTTGCAATTTATCCAGCAATCTATGGGAGACATACCAAGGAGAAAGCCCAAAAAGCAAACCTGATCAGAATTGCTTGCATGATTCTGGGTGTGAGGAGTGGGAGTGTTCCATGTTCAGAGACAATGAGCTGGTATTTGGAAGAGGGACGGATTGCTGAGAGGCCATTCAGAGGCTGGTATCCCATCAGTGATTGACAGCATCCCTGGGAAGGTGGTGGTTGGTGCTGCGATTGAACCCAGCAGATGCTCAGTCTTGCCTTGGGAATGGATTCCCTCTGTTTGTTAAATGCAGTACGGGAATTGCAAAGACAAGATGTTGAAGACCATTGGTGGAATCTTGTAGGGGCCTGAATGTCATGCACTATGGCGATATTTGTGGCTGATTTGTACAAGAAGTCCGGTGAGGTCTATCTCGACATTGGGTGCACTCGCTTCAGTTTTTATGCACCTGTCCAGCGATGAACCAAGTTTCTCACTGGATAGCGATGAATTGCCAAATAAAAGGGATTATTGTTTGTTAAATGCCTTATTAATGCAACAACTCACCTTGTTAAGTTTCAACTTCCTATCTGAACACATGCACTAAACAAGCTCGACTTCAAGTATTCCTGACCTGAAAGTCAAGACAGATAACTGATAACTTCAGCTCGCCACTTACTCCAACGGACACCACTCACTGACATCTCAGAGAACGCTCTGAGGCACCAGCCTCATGCACCCGATGCCCACAGACACTGGCATCCAACATGTACTGGCCTCTAAGAATGCTCATGTACACCTCTGCACTTCAGTGCTGCATCTCGGGCTGCATCTGTAACTATCATTGTAATGCTGCGGCAAGAACACAGTCCACTTAACCCACCAAGCTCATGGACTGCATCTCTGTCTTGTTCACTTGCTGTCATAGCACTCACTCATTCTGAGCCTACTGGGATGCTCATAGAATCCCTGCATTGCCTTGTCTTTTTGTGCTTTGCCCCTCAAGCAGCAATACCAGGTTTACAGTACTGATCTATTGCTGCGCTCTTTAGTGCAGACACAAAACCAGAAAGCTTGTCATGGTTGAAGGCAGTGCTCAGTTAAGTCAAGGAAGATACCTTTCATAAAGAAGTCCCAACAGTCTCTGATATCAGTGCAGAAGCTTGGAAATGGCCAGAGTCAGAATGCTGTCCACATACAGGGTGAGTATGCAGCTGTCAATCAACCCATCACCCTCTCTGCCCTACTGTGGGCTATTTTTCTCCTGAAATGATACGTGGACAGTTATTATGGGAGATAAAAGTAGGTGGCACAAGTGTTACTTTTGGTGTAGGTGGGGAGATGTTCCAAGCAAGTGAGTAGGCAGCACAGTGAGCATGCAGGGTTAGTGGTGTTGGGGGTTGCCATGGATGACAGTAAGTGAGGGAAGGTGTTGCATGTGTTACTGAGGGTAGTAGGGCATGAGCCCTAGTGGGAGATGGATGGAGGAGCAGAGATGTAGTGAATGTGATGTATCAGGGAGAAGATGGTGGCACCTGCACTGGCCAAGTTGAGAATGTCATTGACTTTCCTCTGACAAGATTATGCATTCCTCCACATGGCTGAGACTGCACTGACCCATACCATGATCTGGTGTCATGGTCTGGTCTTGTGGTCCTTGGAGAAGAGGACATGCCACCTGTGCTGCACCATATCCAGTAGGACCTCCAGGTCCATGGACACAAAGAGGTGCGCCAATTTCCCCTTCTCTGCCATATCTAGGCAAATTTCCATAACCACACAAGATAGCTGCAGACTGATGGTGCTGATCCAAGTGCACAACTGTTTTTTAAAGTTGGCACCTGATGTTGACCAATTCTGGAATTTCCCAGCAGTGGTACATTGTTCCAGGAATGGCATATGGTAAGATTGGACTAGAATTGGACATGAGAGGTGCTATAGAGGTGAAGTAGATTGGTAATAAGGTAAGTTTAGTGGCCAAATACTGAGGATGATTCAAAGAGTCTGCAAAGGGATATAGACAGGTTGAATGACTGGGAAAAAAATCTTGACCTTTGGAATATAATGTTGGAAAATATGAGGTTATGCATTTTGGCAGGAAGAGTAGAGATGCTGATTGTTATTTAAATGGGGAAAGACTGCAGCAAGCTACATCATAGAGTAATTTGGGAGTGCATAAATCACAAAAAGCTAGCATACAAGTTCAGCAGGTAATAGAGAAGACAAATGGATTATTGGCTTTTTTCACAAAGGGAATGGAGTTGTAAAAATAGGGAGGTCTTGCTGAAACTATAAGAAGCACTAATCAGACCATGGCTGAAATACTGTGAGAAGTTTCAGAGCCCTTATTGAAGGAAAGATAAATTGACATTGGATGCATTTCAGTGAAGATTCTCTGGGTTGATTCCAGGTATGGAGGGACTGTCAATTGAGAAGAGTTTGAGTACGTTGGACCTTATTGATACATTCAAGATTCTTAGAAAACTTGACAGGGTAGACGTGAAAAGTTGTTTCTGCTTGTGGGAGCGTGCGGGACCAAAGGTCATAATTTCAGAATGAGGGGTCACCTATTTAAAACAGAGTTGAGGAGGAATATCTTCTCTCAGATGGTCGTGGTCTACAGAATTCTTTACCACAGAGTGTTATAGAAGCTGGCTGATTAAGTATATTCAAGGTTGAGATAATAAGATATTTAATCAGTAAGAGAATCAAGGGTTATGGAGAAAAGGCAAGAAGGTGGAGTTGAGGATTATCAGATCAGCCATGATCATCTCTTGAATGATGGATCAGGTTCGATGGGTTGAATAGCCTATTTCTGCTCCTACTTGTTATTGCCTTATTATAATATGGTGAGAAAATGCACTAGGCCTCATGGTGAAAAACCCTCCAAAAATCTCGAAAAAACTGACACTTAGCCCAAATAAGTGCAAAATTCAGCCCGTTATAAAATGTTGGCTGTCCCAAGTACTTTAGAAACATTATGTAGTTAATAAAATAACCAGTTTCTGAAATCTACTGACATTCATTTTTATTTATTTTGCTCCAGCATTATTTCAAAGTTGACACCTTATTCCACAGTGTCATGTTCATTTGCACATGATCAATTTTTGCTTTATAACTGTACTGATAAATAATCTCTCACTGGCTACAATAGTATTAAAACTATAGAAAATATATAGTAACTCCAGAGCACTAAAAATATAGATTTCTAGTCCCAGTTTAAAGTTGGTGTCAAAATATAGCATGCCACTGACAAAAGGATCTACAGTGGATCTTTTAGAGGTATCAACAAGAATGATAATTTATTAATGTTGCACAACCTGATCAAGAGTCTGAGCTTATTTGATAGGTCTTTTCATTTATTGTGCCCAGAAAATATGCCATCTATCGTGATTTGATAAGTAATGTTTAACTGCAAATTATTGCTTTACATTAATATTTGAATCAAAGAAGTTGCAATGACAAATTCTGGTCTATTTGCTGAACTGTTGTGATTATAACATGCATGGACAATTCGTAATTTTCATTTCACATTGTTGTGACAATATAACAGATTCCTGAAGCTGTTACAATTTGAAGCTGCCAGATTTTAAAAAAAACAACTTTTAATGTAATTACGTTCTGTGCAATGAGATATTAACCCAATTACAAAAGGGCCATTAAAGTTTCCAAGACTGTGATTTCTAGACAGTACAGATTTGGAAATGTAGAAGCTATATATTTTACCAGACTAAAGACAGCACTTTATTTGATTTAACATATAAAAGTACATATTTAATGCGAACTTGTGGCATAGTGGTAATGTCCCTGAGCTAGCAATCCAGAGGCCCAGTCTAATGCTATGTGGACTCAGATTCAAAGCCCTCCAAGGCAACTAGTGTAATTTACATTCAGTTTATACATCTGAAATTGAAAGGTGGCCTTAATAATATTGACCATGAAACCAACGACAATTGCCATAAAAATCCATCTTGTTCACAAATGCCCTTCAGGGAACGAAA